CTATTGCAAGTGCTGAACTTTGCAGCCGCAAATATGAGTTAAGTCATACGGCTTTCCCTAACAACTCGGTTTAGGGAGAGACAGATGTAAATAATATTTCTAGTATAGACGAGAGAGTCTGGGGGAGGTGTAAACAAATTCAGTGTGAATATGCAGAAGAGAATTACTAAACCTTTGCTAGGGATAACACGGAGTAAGGCCATGAGGGTGGATACATGAGGGTTCTACACTCAGGAATCTAGAATGGCAGTTGGATAAATGGGACCATGTAGAAAGTCATGGAAACATGAATGAAAACTACACATTCTACAAAATTCTCTGTGTAATCGGAGTATCAGCCGAGGGTTGAGGGAAATGCAGCTGGTCATAGACAGGGGTGAGGCCATGGAGCACCCTGACTGCCCCTATAAAGAGCTTGGCCTTTATTTGTGAGTGTTAGGTCTGTTGTTAGAAAGATAAGTATGGCCACATGTGTCTGGATAGAACAACCAGCGAGACAGAGATGGGTGAGGAAATTGTGGAGTAACCAGGTGTGCAATGAGGACCCAGACTGGGACAAATAACAGGAGGCATTGAAAACAGTGGCATAGAGTCTTTCTGATTATATTTGGGAAAGTATTCATCATAACTCTGGATAAAGAATGGCATGGCCTATAAAATATAATCAAAAGAGCTTAAGAATAGAGCCACAGAAACACTTACCCATCCCCACCAACATGCACAGTTAACCAACTCTCTCAATGACCAGGGAGCCTGTGAAATCTTCCCTCTGAGGCTTCTCCTGAGCCATAGGCTCATCCTTGGGCCTGAATCTGGCTTTGGCCTTGGAGGACATATGAGGGTTCTGATAAGACTTTTACGCTGTAGGTAGGAAGTGTGTCCTTAATTTGTCAACTCTACAAAATCACAGGTCTCTGGCTTCTTAGGAATAGTAAGGTCCTCCCTGAGTAGGGTTGTACATAATACACTGGACACGCGGTTTCATTTGAATTTCAGAGAAACACATCACTTTTAGTATAAGTGATCTATGATTCAAGTATTGTGTGGGATACATGAAAACGATTATTCCTTGCTTATCTGAAATTCAAATGTAATTGCATGACCTGTACTGTACGCTTATTTGCTAAATCAGGCAACCCTACCCTTGGGTCTTGCCTCTCTGTGGGTCAGACCCTCAGAAGACACTGCATCTGAGCAACAGAAGGCAGGACCGGAGGAGACTAAAGCCCATGCTATTGGGAGTTGGGAGATGTTTTACAAAATCATTGTCAGTATGGTTTCCCCCTATCTGCTCGTTCCTCGGGAGAGTCTGGAATTTGAAAACAACAGGCTTGGCACTGAACAAAGAGCTGGCATATTGCAAGACTGCTGGAGGGGAAAATAACCGAATTTAGAATAATAACATATTTGTTCAAGCAAATACCAGTATACATAAAATAAAGAAGCCCTCAAGTTCCCCAGCATGAGTAGCACATTAATGTCTGTGCCACAGATTGAGGGCAAGCATTTCCTTAGGAAGTACAGTGGCCTTATATGATCTTTTCTTTTTTTTTTAATTCTTTTTAACACTGAAGTAGCTCATAGTAATGTGTTCAACATTTATTTTGTGCTTGAAATTTAGGACATTGGCTTTACGCACACCTAATATTTTACAAGCCCTTCCCTATTGGACACAATTAAGTTCAGAGGTCACGTTCACATGAAAAAATAATTGGATTATCACAGCCCATGGGCATAGCAATTATATTGGATATTTTAATATGTAAGTGAATGATATTTATTTAGAAAAACACCCTGACCAAATTCCATCAAATCTAGCTTTCCCAGAGTTACCCTCATATTCTAGTAGCTTTTCCATGCATAACTGAGGAAATTTTTAAACAAGAGCTTCAATAATTTTCCTTCTGAATGAATTGTTTTGTGGTTTCATGCAAGAATATCTCTCCTTGAGGTAAATGAGAAATGAAGTCATGAGAAGTTCTACCCAGAATTGTTAGTTTTCTTTCCCCTGTTCGACTAAATAAAAAGAGAACACTTTCTCTTTGGGTTCTTTCATAGTGTTTTTTTGTTGTATTTTTTTCCCTAGAAGTCAGCAGAGTATTCACAATAACCCTTTAACTGAAATTAGTCTTAAGCCTCATAAATCATATGTGCAGAAGCCTCCTGAGGTGGGAAAATTCTAACAATTTCAGTTAGAGAAATTTAGGGTCCCCTTTACAAATAAGCCAGGTTGTGGGACTTCTGGTTTTTCTGGTGATCAAGTATCACTGGGAACCATGTAATAGAGAGATTCCACAGTTTTATACTTAGTGAGCATCTACTATGTGCCAGACATAGATTAAAGCCCACAGCCTGGTGAACTCTTCACCTGGGTTCTACTGGAGAATAAACCTTCACAAAACCCTAAGCAACAATAGGCAAGACTATTTTCCCTACTCTCCAACATTTTTGAATACTTACATTCTTATAGTGTAAGCTCCAATGAGGTAAACACTCAAGGTGTGAGCTATGATATCAAGGACACTTTATAAATTATTAAATATTGGCGCAATAAGGGCTTTACTGTCTTTGGGTAGAAGGGAAAACAGGTGGAAAGGCTGTTTCCCAGCTGTAAAGCTTATTAGCTTATTCTATCATCTCCTTGACTCTGTACTTTGTCTTGCATCTTATTTTTCAATTACTTCCTAATCTATAGCTTTTGTTGGAATCTTGTGTCTTTTTAGAGAAACGAGGAACCTATTTGTTTGATCTGAGACTAAGACTACCTGTGTGTCCGACATTTTCTTCTTCTTTTTAATTTTTAGGCTTAGTTTCAGGCACAGCTGCTTTGCTTCCCCACTGACTCCTCAGCTGTTTGACCCCTAAAACCTTTCCTCCCATTTTGGGGCACCTCAAGGCATTTTTATTTAGTTTTAAAACAGTCTGTATGTAGGCATGTATACATGTATGTATCTATAGATGTCAATATATTTCTGAATGAGATCACAGTTTTACAGGTAGAACTTGTACACATGTAGATGTATGTAAATGTTCATGTGTACAGATAGATAGGTACACACATACTGCCAGTCATTAGCAATTATCACCCCAAACTGAGCTGGGTTTTAGACAGTCATTTTCTAAACACAGATCTTAGTGCTTCCAGAAACCTGAAAGCCTTGTCTTTTTCACCTGCAGCCCCCCATGCACATGGCAAACCATTTATGAAAGGCAAACCTAACCAGATCCTCTTCATTTGTTTAAAAAAGGGAAAGCAGAAAGCTTTGAAAATATGCACGTGGATGAAAAGGAATTCTGTTGCTCTGTGACGCTGGTGCCATTTGTGTCAGCTGCAGTGACGGCTGCCCCTGCTCCATCTAAAGATGGCCGAGACCGGACCTTTGGCCGTGTTGAAAGCACACACTGAGCAAAACCATAAGGTAATGTTTGGAGACTGTTAGGATATAGTAATTATTCAGGTAATTCATTATTTTGTAAACACCAATAGCATGCTTTTCTGGAAGAAAATCATTATTCAGACAAAAGCATTCCTCTTAGAAACATGACACATGAGGACAATAAACATCAAAATTTTTAGAACCTAGTAAAATCACCAACATCATTGAGCTTACAGATGCTTCTGCGTTTGATGTTCTGATCTGGCACAAGGGTTTGCCAACCCTAAGTGAATATACATTACTCTTGCTTTTAATAACAGTCTTGACAGGTCTTTGAGATTTTAAATATTGAGGAACTTTAAATGTATATCTATACTCATATATATTTGGCTTATTGATATATTTTAATTTTTTGTAAAATAAATGCAATACATGTTACTTCTATCTGATTTTTTTTAAAACCTTATTTAGTTATCTTTAGAGAGGAAGGGAAGGAGAGAAGGAGAAAAACACCAATGTATGGTTGCCTCTCATGAGTCCCCTGCTGGGAACTGGCCTGCAACCTAGGCATGTGCCCTGACTAGGAATCGAACCGCGATCTTGTGGTTTGCAGGACCGCACTCAATCCACTGAGCTACACCAGCCAGGGCTATCTGATTTCTTTTTGAAACAAAGGAATACACTTTGGGAATGACAGCATTTCAGGGCTGATTTTACTCAAAGTTTCCCTCGTGGCTCTCCTCCCCCCACCATTTTTAATAACAAAGTATATAGCCAAGCACTCCTTGGAGCAAAGTATTTGTATATTTTTAGTCGTTTGCTTTTCCCAATCATGCTCTGAAAGTGGAGAGAGAGGATGGAGGTATGAGGATCGTTTTCATCTCTACTGGAGAGGGGGCAGCACCCACCTGCAGCTCAGCCACACCCAATGCATCATCAAAGTTACCAGGAACCTCTTTTTTTTTTTTAGGACAACTCCATCCAAAGCTAAACTCCTGACTTCTATTCAGTGAGGAGGCTTTAGGCTTAATGTCTGCGACCCTCGTGAAATGCAGAGGTGTTCTAGTCACTCCTTATGAAAATCAAGGTGGCCCTGCTTTCTTCAAAGGGAGCTTCCGCCTTCTTGGTTTCACTCACATTGTGAATAACACCCTCCAATATACACACTTCTCAGGACAAAGTTATTAGATAATATTCTGATAATGATTGGAATTAGTCTGCCCCTGGCTATTATTAACATTGACTGACAGATGATCCATGATTATTTCAATAGCAATATGGGAAACCGTACAGCATCTTTCAGTTCCCTCTGTAGGCAGTATTTACTGTTGTGAATTTGTAGACGTTCTCGTCATCAACCAAATTCTTAATAGAAAGATATAGTAATGAATGCTCTGGCTGCCAAACTCATTTTTTATTGCCAGTCTAGTTTGGGCAAGTGTAAAGCCGATAAGCCATTCCTGTTATTGTGACCCTGTTCATAAGAGACAAATCAGATTATGTGCCATCAAAGGAAATAAATCATCGTGCTAGGTGTGATAGAGACAGACTCATTTTGTTTGCTGAAGTCCCATCCTCTGAGTGACAGGTGGAAGGCAAAATGTCAAGAAGGAGTCCTGTTGGAACAATTGCTTAGGATGGTGTTTAATACAGCAGAAAGCCAAAATACAGTAGGAGGGCACAGTTTAAAGAATGTGGGGTGTGCAGACACAGTTAGGGATCATGGCTGGTGATCTGCCACCTGCAATTTGAACGAGAAGTAAGTGAGGGAAATCTATGACTTTCAGTTCTCCATGCATGCGAAGGGGAGTTAGTTATTACAAAAGTTTTGCCATTGTATGTGCTGAAAGAAAAGCATTATGCATTTAAACATTTTTTTTAAAAAATAAATCACTCAATAGGCTTAAGAAAAATACTCTACTTCATATTCCATTGATCTGACCTTTTGATTCAAGATCAGGGAATGAATCCAGGATGAAAACCAAAACACAAAACAGAAATGAGTCATTTACCATGAAAAAGGCATTTCCAGTCTCAGCTAACCTCGACTAGTTTTTATTGCATTAGTTTTGAAATGCCAAGAGACTGGCTTTGGCCATAATATTTGCTGTCCAACTAAATCACAGCTGTCGATCGGCAATTGCTTGCAATGATTAGCTAAACACCATCATTTGACAAATTCCCTGGAAAGGGGCGTCAATGCTTTCGATGTATGACATGCACTGAATTAACGGTCACGCTGGGGCTGCAGCCCAGGGAGAGAAGCTGATAAATCCCGCTCGAGCAAGGGGTATCAAAGACCCTTAATTTTTTGTAATACACACGCTGCTTCTGAACTTACGAGTTCTTTCTGGTGTTCAGGAATGAATTGTGGGACTGGCCACAAAGAAGCGGAGAAAGCCACCGAGTCTAGCTTCATTTTGTAAGAAGCTCAAGGAGATAGGAAGAAAATGAAAAAATGGAAATGTGGAATGGTAATGGTTTAAAATAGAGAGAAAAACAAACACCATGGAACCTGCTAGCAACTTCCACCAAAGCAGTAAACCCCTTCACTGACAGCAATTCAGTACAATATACATATCCATTAACAACTCCACTGTGACTAGGGCTGCCGTTCAAAGCCAGACGAATTAACTACAGTATTCACAAACAGAATTCTCAAAGATATTTGAGAACAAAAAATAGAGCAAAAAGGCAATGTTAGCTAAGCTGGTAGCTAGGTCCACCCTGAATGGCCCCCAGGATTTAAACTATCATGGATTAAAGCCATGAAAATAAAAATTTCAATTTGAAATTTTATTAGCATGTTGCTAAACTGGTCAATAAAAACATCAACATGATAGGCCTCGTTGACATAGTTGGGGAACTGCCCCCCCATTTTAAAACTTTATTTCCACTTCCCCGCCTTCAAAGGTTTCTATGTTAGGAAAAGCCAAGCTAAATATACTAGTTGTGGTGCTATGCTAGTGCTGGTTTCTGGAATGTTGCCATAACTTCCCCCTCCCTCTCCTCCAACCCTTTTAGAAATGTGATTATTTTTAAAACGCAGCCCAAGGAGGGAGCAATTAGGGTAAAGAACAACAAGTGCCCTTCCCCACAAATTCAAGTTTCCAGAGCACAGGGCAACCTTCTCTGAGGCAGGAGCAGGGCCCCCGGAGCCTCACCAAATTAGCCGTGCCCTTTTCCTTCCGGAGGGGTAGGCTTCCCTTGTGCCTGGTAGGTAGAGGGTGGCGTTCTTCCCTCGCTGGAAAGAAGGGGAAGCAAACACTATCTAGCTTAGCTTGGAGCCTGGGATTTGACGTCGGGAGACCTGGGGCCGGAGGGCTGGAACAGTGCTGGGCTGCCTTGGGAGAACCCGGAGTGCCCAGGTGCTCGCTTGTGGGATGGGTCACAAGTGCGTAAGGGACAGGCTCGATTTCTTGGAAATCCTGCAGTCTGGGGACGCATCCATACAGGAGCTGAACTGTGCCCTGGAAATACCCATTCTCACCTCAGACTCGTCGTTGTGTGCGCGTTTGGGGTGGTGATGGTGCCTTTCTAGTGTGGGGTGACAGTCTCGGGGCAGCGACTCACGGGGAGAGTCGAGCCCCTGCTCCCTTCGGCCCATCCCCCTCTCCCTCCAACAACTCAAAGGGAACACGCACGCTGGGTTTCCCAACAGGATTATCGCCCCCCCTGGGGGTCTCAGCCAGGCGCAAACACCTGCCCTTTCAGTCCCAGTCCCAAGGCCAGTTCCTGAGACTTCCTGCCACTTGCTGGAGGGATGCCGGGGTGCAGCTGGGCACTGGCCCCCCACCGCAGCAGACGCTGGCGAGGGGACTAGGGTAGTGAATTGTCTGCCGGGGGACCCTGCTGCTGGGAAGGGGGTGGGGCACGCGGGGAGACAGGAAGGGCAGGCGGCACCCCCAGGCTACTCCTTGTCGTCCACCAGGTCAGCGAGCTCCTGGAGCACTCTCAGGCGACCGCTGGCGTCAATGCGGCGCTTCTCGCGGATGAGGTCTTCCAGGCTGTGAAACCTGGCCGTGTGCACCTTGTTGTCACCCAGGTGCACCTTGAGATAGTACTGCTGCTGCGGAGGCTGCGTCCCCGCCGGCACCTCCCCTCCCGCCTTGAACTCCCGCTTGCCAAAGCGGCACCAGGCGGCGAAGCTCTCCGAGTTCGTCCAGCAGATCTCCTCGCTCTTGAGGCCCAGGTGGCCGCAGGCGTTCTGCACCACCAGCTCGGCCACCAGCGGGCGGTAGCGGTACCAGCTATTCACCACGCGGCCCACGTTGGCCGCGCCCGCCTCGTACAGGCTGTCCTGACGGATCTCGCCTTGGTGCAGGTGGATGATCTGCCCGCCGCCCACGTAGACCGCCCAGTGCGGGGCGGGAGCCGGCGGCTCGGGCTCCGGCTGCAGCCACAGCAGCTCCAGCAGGTCGCCGGGCTCGCAGAGTGCGGGCAGAGAGGTGACCGCGTAGACGCTCAGGTCGGCCCCCTGAGGGCCGCCGCTCACTTTGGAAAAAATGCATTCCTGGCCCCGAAAGGCGGAGAACTGAATTTCGTTAAGGATCAGCTGGTGCAGCAGGTGGTGGTGGTGGTGGTGGCGGCTGGGGCTCTCTGGGCAGGGCGTACAGTCCGGGGAGGCCTTCACACCAAACTTGTCGGGCTGGCCGCGTTCGTCCAGGTCCTCCTCCTCATCCGAGAAGAAGTAGGCGACCCCGACGCGCAGCTCGTCCTTCTCGATCCCAGACGGGTCCCCCGTGGGCAGCTCGCTGTAGTTCAGGTGGGTGATGCGGTCCAGTTGGTTGCCCATCAATGACGCGGCGAGGCAAGGGCCAGGAGCGGGGGTCTGCGGAATCAGAGGAAGGCAGAGACACATCACAGCCCGGCTGCCCCTCCCCAGGACGCGTAGGGCTCCCGGGACCTGCCCGCCCGCTGGCCCACAAGACCTCACTGGAGTCACCTCGCCGGCTGACTTTCCCGTGCCTCCCCTGGGGCAGGACAAGACGAGAAGCCACCTGTCCGTCCGACAAGCGAGAGCGGATGCCACCACACAGCCTCGCCACGGACCCCTTCCAGGGACCTGCTCCAACTCCCACAAGAGAAAAGGCAGGCGGGCTGGAGGGCGTGCGGGGCCCCAGGGGGGAGGACAGTACGGGTTGTGGCTGCGTGGGAGACGACTCCTAGAAAAGGGCGGAGGGGTCTTGGGAGGGAGGAGGGGAGCCCAAGGCCCTAGAGCCCCGAGCAAGCTTCGCTCCCATTTCTGTCCCCACCCTCTCCAGCCCACCTCTCAGTTTCACACGAGGTCGCACTCCCGCCCTGACAGCGCCTTGCACAATGACAATGGGACACATCCCCAGGCACTCACTTGATACCAGCAACCTTTTGCACACATGGAATCTAGACACAGGCTGGTACACTGGTGTGACAATGTCACATGTACACACAATGGCAAGCCTTCGCAATGACACACTCAGGCCCCCACATTCACGCAGAATTCCAGCAATACTCTTGCACACAAGCCGATGCACCTACACCCACGCACCCGGGCACACCTGGCCACACAGGCAGGTGAGCTCTGCCCCTTACTTCTCTTGCCTTCTCCCCGGGAGGGTCGATCGGGCTACGCCAGGGCGAGGCTGCTCTGTCTAAAATAACCTAACAAAGAGGCAAAGGAAGGACGGGGGAAGCCGGTGCGGTGCATGTGTGCGGGAGAGGGTGTGCGGGTGGACTGTGTAGGAAGGTCCACTTTCAATCCCCAAACCCTCTCCCTCCTACCAGGCACAAGGTCCAAACAGTCGAAGAAAAACGTCTCCAAGCAAAGAAAGCCGCCTTTCCGTACCAGTGATTTCCCTGCTCCCGAAACCCCAAACTCCTTTAAAGTCTGCTCGTCCCCATGGGTGCTGCGGAGGCAGTGGTGGGAAGTGGGTCCTGGGCGCCGAGTGGGGCTGCGGCTCCGCTCCGCCCGCGCAGAATGGTGCGGCGCGGCGCTCGGTGAGGTGAGGTGCCGGTGCGTCTGCGTCCAAGCTGGCTGGGGAGCCAGATCCACCTGCACAGTCCCCGCTGGATTCTGGTTTCCAACGGCTGAGACAACGACTCTAAGTAGCTGGAGTCGCTCGTTCCAGGTCCCGCCCTGGGCCGCGTTCATTGGTCCGGGCAGGTGGCCAAGCCCCGTCAATCTCTCTGGGAGGGGAGGTGAGTAGGGGCGGGGTTTCCAGCGTGTGCTCGCTCCTCCCGCTCAGTCCCCGCGCACACAGACGCACTGACACGCGCCTCGGTGCCCCAAGAGGTGCACACACGCGAGGTGTGAGTGCGTTGGTTACCCCGTGAAAGGCTTCTGCACTGTGCCGCTGCTCTCTGGCACCGTACCCCCGAGCTCCTCCAGGCAGACTGTAACTAAGAGCAAGGTTGGACTGTGGTCTGTCTTCAGCGAGTATGGGCTCCGGCAATAAAACTGAATCTGGGGGTGAAAAAGAGTGCTCCCAGCCCCTAGACCTAGTGCACCCCAGGCACTGCGGGCGGCCAGGGGCTGGGAGCAACACTGTCGGAGGCAGGCCCCTGGCGGCTCCTGCTGGGGCACCCAGAGCCTGGGTTCCCGAGGGCCCCTGGGCTGGCCCTGGTTCCCTACACCTTTTCCTACCACCCACATTCACCTTTGAAATTGTTTCTAGTATGTTAGGCTCATTTCTGTTCGGACACTGGTGCTGGGTTTGAAAGTGTGAGCCCTGGCCAGCCCATTGCCTGACTGAGCCAGTGATTTTAGCCTCCAATTTTCTGTCTTTGAAAGGGGTGCGTGCCCCTAGTAGGACATCAGTGTTTTCTCAGCCCCAGCACTATCTTTGCTAAAGGAGTTTCGTTTGCTTTTGCGGGAGAAGTGTGTCCAGTGGCAATTAATAATTGCATTTCTGGATGGGAAGTTCATGCATGAATATGCCCTGGATACTGGATACAGAGAGGTAACTTTGGCACACATGAAATTCGAGATTTGCAGTTTTATAAAGCTTACAACGTTCAGCTTTCAAGAGTTCGTAGACATCTGCCCTTTCCAGATGGCTCAGCAGCTTTGCTGTGAAGGCTACTCTTTGCCCAGAGAGAACGGGGCCTCCTCTTTGTGTCCCTTTGGTAGCTGATACACACTCTTAGGTCTCTTACCCTGCTCTGTTACAAACTTGTGTTGATTTTATTCTTCTTTGCAAAGTGAATGCTTTGAGGATTGGCTTGTGCGTGACACAGCTTTGCATTCTGGGCCTCTTCACAGTGCCCAGGGGACAGTTGATTCCATTGGCAGAAATTAAACATGGAAACAGTCAACTTGGGTTGACCACAAACGGGGCTGGGAGCTCTGCTCAGAGTTGAGAAGATGATTTAGTCTTCATGCCTCTGGGGGGATTCACTTTGGAGAATTCGAGTTGCCATTCTTGGAACTACCACCAGTTGTGATGATTTTTTTAAATACTTGCTGTAAATAATAAACAAAAGTTGGCTCTGAAGTCAAGAGCATTGAAGACATGGTCTCAAAGGTTAAGGAGTGAATTACTGCTCTGGTTACCACCAGGACTTGGGGAATCTCGGGGAGGGGGGATTGGGAGGACTGGTTGCTGGGGCCTGAGAGGAATTCATTGAAAGCAGCTTTGCGCTTCACTGTCGAATAGCCCTTTAAAAAACCCTCTGTCCATCTCAAGATCCATCTGATGCACATTTACAGTGTGCTTGCTTGGAATGTTGTGTTCTGTCCTACCTGTCCTAGCCTGCACCAGTGCTCCAGGCGACAGAATAAACAGGCTGTTCCTCAACATTCTAAAGGATAATTACCATAAAATATTTTCTGGGCTTCAAGTCACAGTGCTCAACGTTTAAAACATCAACTTGCAACTTTTGTTGCAATCTCCTTTCTCTGGCTTCCCCTACCTACCAGAAGAAAAGACTTACAGCTCGAGCATTCACAAGGGGGAATAAGGGGGAATAAATACCGTGAGGACTGCCCCTCCCTCCCTTCCTTTGAAATACAAGGTAGAAAACACCTTGATTGAGCACCAGAAATAGGAGCTAAAAGTAAACTAAGGAAAACACACCTACTCTTTGTCGGCTTTTGGCAACTACAGATTAGAAAGTAAGACATAGGCCGATCAACCGGAAGGGTGGTGATATTAGCAAAACCTAACTTCTACTTTCATCACTTAAGTATCGTTTGCCACTCATTTTATTTGTCTGTTATTTCTCACCCCATCGTGCTTGCTTTTGAACGGAAGAGACACAGCATTGCTAAAAGCAGGCTGTATTCATCAAAAGCAAACTCTGAAAACCAACTAGTTCGAATTCTATTTCAACGTTTTTAATCCGGGTAACTCTGGGAAATTATTTGACCTTTCTGGATGTCAGTTTCTTCATCTGTAAAATGTAGATAAAATACTATGGTCTCACTGAGTTGTTATAAGTTCATACATGCAAACAGAGTACCTGGAACATAGTGAGCTTTCAATCAGTGTGACCTGTTATTAGTATTGGTGGAGGAGGGGAGAGGATAGAGGCTGCTGTGTTCTACTTATTATGAGAGCTGTGCAGTTCTGTTTCTCCTTTGCCCTAGATGGGGTGTCCAAGGCTGTCCCCCGCTGGAGTGTGGGACTGCTTCTGTTTTAAGGTGGTGAGAGCCCTGTCTATCCTGAGACTAATGCAAGGTCTCAAACTCAGTGTAGATTTTTGTGTGTGAGTGCCTGGGGCTGATCACATTCTGTGTCCCATCGTATTTTGAATTGTTTTAAAATCAGCAGTTCCCTGGTATGAAGAACATGTACAGAAGCGGGTTAGCAGAGAAGTGATTGGGAGCCAATTATATGTATGTTATGCTTTCTAGTGGTGCCAGCTGGTGTATCATCTTCCTTCTTTTCCTCTTGGTTATTTCTTTAGCACCATGAGAAAGGCTTTCTCCCAAATTTCAATAAGTCCCTCACTCAGACTGTCGCCCTTTAAAACTGTCCCTGGAGGTAGGGTTCAGAATGAATATCCATTCTCTTTCAGTACTGCTTTACATCATTCCTTGACCGAATGTTTTGCTGCTTTTAACTGCATGTGCTGCTTTAACGTTTAGCCTTTAACTGTCCCCTTTCCTATCCTTGACTGCCTTCAACAGTCACTATACTCACCCTGACCCCTGACAAAGGACACTTTGTACCCATCTTGAGGCAGAGACCAAGTGATGGCTTCACCAAGCCCATTTCCTTCTCTTCTGGCAGACGGCTAAATTACGTGACCCCGCCAACACGCAGTTGGTAAGCAACAGGGGACAGCCTGGCCAATGGAATGTGCGTGCAAGGGTGGTCAGCTGCTGCAAGGCTGGGCCTCTGAAACTCTTGACAGGATTTTTAGGGGACACTATGTGATGATTTTCCCTGCACCCCCTTTTCCCACCTGGCTATAGGCAGGGATCTGTGGTAGAATTCTGGATGAGGAGCCACAGGATGGCAGGAGATGGTGGGTCCCAAATAACTAACTGTGCAAGTCAGAAATTCCTTCCTTCCAAGCAGGCTTTGTTGGACTGTGATGTGAGGAAGAAATCAATCCAATTGGATGAAGCCACTGAAACATTCGGTGGCTATTTGTTACAGTAGTTAGCCTATCCTTTGTTTTAGAACAAACCCAGAACAAACGATACCCTATCTCATTCCCCTTCCCTTTTAGTGTTTGTTCTCACTGTTAAAGCTGACTTTCTGTCGATGCAGTCCCTGCAGTGTCTCAGCCTATTTACATCACCAGAAATTAAAGAAACTACAATGTATGCATGTCCATTCCAGGAACTACCCATGTCTCCTGCCTAGTTTTTCCTGTAATTTTCCATTAGCCCCCATATGACTAACTTACCCTACTCCTTGAATATCTTACCTGCCTTCTACTTTTCCTAGATCACAGAAATGCCAGGGCCAAGTCCTGGCAGCTAAGACCGAAGAGCCCTGTCACCCTGCTTCCCCTTAATCTCTCTGCTTGCCCTGAACTTTCTATTTCTTAATTGCCCTCTTCCAAGTTTGGCATCCACATGTCCGCATTTTCTGAGTTCTTTCCTACAACTGGATGTTCTTATTAAAGCATCTTTATTGGCTTCTTATCATTTTGCCATTAAAGACCTGTTACCAGGAGACCGGAGTCAGGAGACTTTCTGCCTTGGTTCTTGTCTTGCTCGGAAGAGAAAAATTCAAGTGCGAGACAACACATTTAGTGAAAATGAGATTGCAGGTTTATTTATGAAACAAAGCTGCAAGCAGGCACCTGGCTAGTCTGAATGATCCATGTAAAGAGGAAAATAGAGTTGTTAGTAAGTTTGTTCTATATACTTGAGCACCTGGCTACAGTTGGGCACTCAGCTAATCTGAGTGCACTGACCCTTGGAACTCCAGAAGCTACACACTTTAGTCAGCTTCTAGGTTCCCCCTTCTCCTCCCCATTCTAGACCTTGGGAATAATGTACAGCTACAAAGGCTTTCTTTCTCAGCCAGTAAAGGCTCTTCTGTCTCAGTTAATGAAATTGCTACAGAGACTTCCTTTCCCACAGAGTTTCAAAGACTCCCTTCCTCCTCCACTATCTTGCTTGTTTTTTTTTTTTTTTTTTTTTTTGTCTTTGGTGGTTTTTTTTTTTTTTTTTTTTTTTTTTGGGCGGTGGGGGTGTGGAACCCTGCTAGAAATGAAGATCCCAGGCTCTATCCCAGATTTAGTGAACTGTAATAACTTCAGGATGGGTTCTAGGATTCTGCACGTTGAACAGTCTTCCCAAGCATTCTAGATGCAGCGTGGTTGACCAAGTACTACGGAAGTGCAAGAAACTCTTCTCATTTTCTTGGGTACAGCGGCAGTGCAGGAAGAGTAGGGAGGCCCTTCATAAATACTGGGAGTCATGTGGCCCCTCTCTAATGAGCTTCCTTTTAGACTTGCTCATGTAAGCTGGTGGTCCTATCTGCATTGAAAGGTGTGCAAGGTCAAGGGTTTTTAAAAGTCACATTTTAGGTGTGCGACCAGGCTGGGGATTTTCCTCTCTTTTCTCTTATTTAAACTCCTGTGCCCCGGTCTGCTATGCTAAAAACCTGAGTGAACAGGAA